GCATTCTTGTCTCAGTCCAACATGGCTGCTACAACAGAATCTCAAAAATTCAGGTAGCCTGGCTTATTGAAAATACCTTTCACTTTAGATATCAAAGAAGGTTTAAACAAAGATTTGTTAATGGATTTAAATTATACTTAAGGTGTTCACTGATGGCAGGATATTGTTTGGGGATAAATCATTTTTTCATAAATGGTGAAAAGTGATGAAAATTACGTTACCAAATGCAGCATAAAACCAGGGCCCAAAGCATTCAAGTAATTTCCCCTCCACCCACATATCCCTTTTTATAACACCACCAACCCAAATAAAGGGGCAGAAGGAAGCAAGTTCTGAAAAGTTTGAGTCTCAAATACTGTATTTCTGGATGAAACTATAATTACAGGTAATAGACTCGTACATAAAAAAACTATGTCAGCAGGATCACTTTATAATATGATGAATAATATAAATTCATACCCTGTCTGATGCAAAAATTACTTCCCTAACAACTTTATCTCCATTATTTTCCCATATTCTTCCTGGGAAGAATAAGGGAGGTTTACCCTTAACCACTGCTAGTATATGCCTCTCTTCCCTTTAAAACTTTCTTCTGGTCACCTCTTCACCTCTTTCACTCTTATTTTTTATCAGTGCCAGTTTCCAACCTTCAACTCTTTCATCCTAACATTTGCAGAGTATCTTCATAGATATTCGATGTCAGAAAGCATAAGTTGAACTAGTCACAACACTAACATAAAAAAAACTTCTAAACCTTAGAGGCCTTGCTGGAATATGTCCCAACTTCACCCTCCCTAGCAGACAAACAATGCTACCTTCAAGCCCAATCCCACAACAATCCTAAATTCTTTTAAACTAAAAATAACTCAGCTGTTGTCTCATCTGCCAGCAGATGGCCAGACTATTTTTAAGTCAGGATTCTCAAGAGCAGGAATGGATCAGGCTAAGCTAGGGCAGCCTAGACTCCCTCTCTCTGCATAGCTGTAGTAGGGCAAGTACCAAAAGAGGGCAACCTGGAGCTGTTCCTGGGCCTGTGGGCTTCACATCAGTTGTAACAGAGAGAGAGAGAGAGAGAGAGAGAGAGAGAGAGAGAGAGAGTCTGTGTGTCTCTTTTTTAACACATCAGTTGTAACAGTGTGTGTGTGTGTGTGTGTGTGTGTGTGTGTCTCTTTTTTAACCATTCTTTACTTCAAAATAAAGTCTGAGATAATTTGAAAAAAAGTTCTATATTAACTCTGCATCCCTTTAAAGGTTTATTTTTCATTCTGTGAAAATAAAAGTTCCTTGATACAGTGTCTTTGAGAATGGATTCTGTTTTAATAAAGTAAAATCTACCCTCATCTAGATGATGTTTCATAAAAGTTATACTTTTCAGCAAAAAAAAAGTTTTAAGAATACATGATAAGCTGCAATTTCATGAGTACAGTTTACAGAAAATCTATTTATAATTGGTCATTATATTAAAAGGTAGCTGAATTAATTTTGAATGGTAATACTCTGAAATCTACTCAAATCCCAATACAATGATTTTCAAACAAAAAAGGATTAAAAGTCTGACATACTATGTATTTTCCTGTTTACTGTCCATCTCCCTTCAACTGTATGCTCAATAAATATTTGGGGGAAGAATGAATACAGACAGGTGGGTATTTAGAAGGGTTATAACACCACCTACAAAATGATCTTTGTATCTCCAGCATCCAACACCCACCCACTCACAATCTATAGACCAGAGATGACTAAATCAGGCCTTTCCAGTTTGCTTTCCCATCCTGCTTTCTGGGTACATAGATTACTCAGATCAAAGTGGGCCTGGGCCCAGTCTCAATATTGAAGAGGAGAAGATAAGCCTTCTAATGGTTCAAGGACAATACATATTCGGGGGTACCATCTTCCTGCAAGACATACTTTCTGCAAAAACAAAATGAGTTAACCCTATCAATTTATGTTTGGGTGGTGATGTAGATAAACTGCAAGGGAAGAAACAAAGTTCACCAGGAATTAGCTACCATGAGATTACTGAGATTTTGCTTTGCAGGGGGCTAAGTGTAACTTTATGAAATGTGTGGGGGAAATGCCTTATACATCGCAAGTAAATAAAGTGCTCTGGCGCCTAGGCCCCGCCTAGATAGTTACATTCCTCATAGAAAGCTTCTATTGAGTATACAGAGGGGGCAAAATTGTAAAATTTGGAATAGACAACCCTGGTACAGTTGGCACACACATCAAGTAATCCCTACCTCCAGAAATGGCAAGGGCCATTTAGAGTGCTATGGGCCCTCTAAAGATGCTGCTGATGAGTGGCAGGAATATTCAATGCACGAGTTAACAGGACAGTGCATTCACATTCACAGCACATTAGCGGAGAGGTGACCATACAATCATTAAGTTCAATACCCTAATTTTACAGAGAACTCAAGGCCCAGGGACTTGGTTAATACTACAATGTAACAGAACTGGGATTTAAATCGAGGATCTGAGACTCTCATTCCAGTAGGCTTTCCATTAAAATATGCTTACTTATGTTACTATTTTGGAGAAGGAAAATACATACATACATACAACACACTCCATTTCTTCAGTTTGATACCTACAATTTAACATATTAAAAATATGTTGTAATATGAAAAATCTGAATTATAAAAAACTTAAGGCCAGGAGAGATAGCTCACGCCTGTAAACCCAGCATTTTGGGAGGCCAAGGTGCGAGGATCTCTTGAGCCCAGATTTGGAGACCAGCCTGGGCAATACAGAGAGAACCCATCTCTACCAAAAAAAAAAAAAAAATTAGCCAGGTATGGTGGTGTGCCTGCAGTCCTAATTACTTGAGAGGCTGAGGCAGAAGGAATGCCTGATCCTGGGAGTTTGAGGCAGCCACTGCACTTCAGCCTGGGTGACAGAGCAAGCCCCCGTCTCAAAAAACAAACAATTTATAACTTTAACTTAAATCTCTCTGAAGCTCTTTAGTCATCAAGTAATTTATAAATCTACATATAACAATTATTTTAAAAAATCCTAAAATCACTTTCTCCCCATTCTCACCCCAATTTAATAATTATTCCTTTCAGGACCTAGATATGAATTCTGTATTTGTCACTATACAACTGTCTTCTCATACACCAGGAACAGTCTTTTGTTAGCTACAAAAATAACAAAATGGAAATTTGTGGTCCATGAATAAGGCGAAAAAATAAACTTAAGCCCATTATAATACAGATTCAAATTTTTTAAGATGAAATTTCTTCGATGTTTTCCATATTACCAACGATGTAGGGGGAAAAAAAATACAGTATATAACCGCAAATTAAATAGTAGCCTTCTATTTATTTTAATAATTAAAAGCTAATTTTAAGTTGTCTTGACCCCTTAACTTCAGCATACTTTAAGTTATTATGGATTTTTCCCCTTTCAAGAATGCTTTTTTCCCCCAAATCCTATTTAACAAGCTTCCTTTTCTTGCCAGTTTGACCCAGTGTATTTCCAGTGCTATAAAGTGTAAGCATTAGGAATTCATCTTTGTGTTAAATGTTCTGATCTCTCAAACGGTTTCACCTTTGATGGATGCAATAGATCTAACAATGTTGTCCCTTTAACAATTCCTTATCTGCCTAACCTCGTAAGTATTGTCGGATTTTCTCTGCTGCGGGCTTCATTACACTAGATCTCTTCCATCTGAACTATAAATCACAATTCAAGCTTGAGGGCAGCCGCCACTGTCCAGACATGTGGCTGGTGGGTGTCATTGTCTTTTTCATTTTCCTCATTTCAAACCCTCCCTTCCTGTGTCACCTAAAGTCATTTTATCTAAAGGTTCTTTGCTGCCCTGCTTTCATGCCGCCACCTCCCACCCTCACCCCTTAATCACTGGTCTTGTTCTTCCAGGTCAGCCCAGTCAAATACAAAATTACTCTGTTTTTCCTGTGGCGGAGGCGGAGAGATGTCAGAATGAACTGTACCTCTTGCAAACCCCTTCTCAAGACTGTCAACAAGGAAACAACTTCAGCAGCCTATCTTCCCGAAGTACCTCGCCAAACGAAAAAGTTATTGTTAATTATGATACGCAACCCTTCCCACGCCCAATCTTGACATATCGGCCCCACCTCAATTTCCAAGCTAATAAACAAGACCTCATCTTCTGCTTCATCACAAAGGGTGGTATCCAGTCTGTACCTCACGGTCCACCAACAAAATCCTCTCACTCTTAAGTCCAACCCTCGAACCCAGGTATCCCGTGTTCCCCGAGCCCAGCTCACCGCCCTTCCTCCTCTACCCCACCTCTGCCCCATATCCAGCTGAGTTCCTGTCAACTCCAGCCAGGCTCCGCGAGGGCTCCCCGAGGTCAGAGGTGCGGGCCTCGGGCAAGCCCCGGGCGACCCCAACCCCCGCGGGAGCCCCCGTCCCGTCCCCTCCACCATCCCCCCCACACACACACAGCACCCCATCCCCCGGGCCTCCTCTCCACTCACCTAACGCTACCTCGCAAGCTTTGCGCAGCTGGGAGTGATGCGCCTTCTTCACTTCCTTGTCGGCCAAAATCTTCTCCAGGGCCCGGGTCAGAAACATGTTCTTCGTCTTCTTCCCCTCATACATGGACGCGGAGAACGAGGCGGCGGCTTGTCCGACCCGCGGCTCCCAGCGGCTGGAGTGGAGGAGGAGGAGAGGAAGGAAGAGAAGAGAGAAAGGAGAGGGGTGGAGGTGGGGGAGTGGAGGCGTGGAGGGCAGCGGCAGGATCAGGAAGGGGCGGGTGATCGGGACCAGCCGCGGGGCCGGCGCCGGGCGTCGAGGTCCTCGCCGCCCCGGAGAAGCCGCACCCGTCGGGCCTCCGCTTCTCCTGGGGGGGTCGCGTCCTGGCCGCCCCTCTCACTCGTCCCTCCGGCCCTGGCGGCTGTAAGCCCGGCCCGGAGGCTGTCTGCTGGGGACTGAGGGACGAGGTGGTGGCGGCTCTCAGAGGCCAGGCGAGAGCAGAGCTGCCCTGGCTACTATGGGGATTAGCACCCGCCGCGGCCGCGGACTGGCCTCCATCACCGCCAACCTGCCCTGGCCGCCATGTTGGGAGGAAACGACGCGTCACGCAGCGGCCAAACGGCTGCAGAGGAGGAAGCGGCGGCGGCGGCGGCGGCGGCGGCGGCGCTGCCTGCCCAGAGAGCTGCCGCGGCGCCGGGAGGCTGGGGGCGGAGGGCGGTGCGGGAGGAGCGGCCCGAGCCGCAGCGCTACGGCGGCCCGGCGGGGCCTCCCGCGTTCGCCTGCAGGGCGGTGTGGGGCGTGGCGGGCGTCCTGTGGCGCCGCGCCCAGCACTTCGGGCTGTTGTCTGCGGCCGGCCTGCGGACCAAGGATCCCCCCTACTCGGCACCCCTGCTCCTGCCGGGTGAACAGGACTCCTGGCTACTCTGCACCGGCTTCTCTAACTTTCTGATGGAAGTGCAGTCCTTTGCCTTCGAAGGGTCACAGGAACACCCGCATCGCCGGTTCTCAGCCGCACTGGGTCTCCGCCTGCAGCGCTCGACTCTAAAATTTCCTTCCCCTGTATGCGGAACTGCCCTCCAGGACTGCGCTCTCCGACAACCTCAGGGAGGATTCTCTTTTGGGAAAAGTAAGCTAAAGCCTATTGATAAGAGTTCAAAATGTTTCACGTTTTTCTCTCTCAGGCGGATAAATCGATTAACGGCGGATAAAAAATAGATTTTAGGTCCCTTCTGAATTGACTCAGTTAAGGTGAATGCTTGTGAATAAGTTCCCTTAGAGCCCTGTGTTTCTGTGCTTTTAATATTAAGATTTAGTCCAGGACCAGTAAACCAGTTTTTAGAATGGAAAAACTTTAAGTACAAACAGATTAACACACGTGACCATGTGTTTGCTTTAGTCTGAATGTAGAATTCAAATTTCTGCAGTATTTAATTTCTACAGTTACCTAATGAGCAGAAAATTATAAAGAATACCATAAAAATATATGCAAACAATGTATATGGTGATCTAGGGCCACATCTCCAAGTTCCAAGCTGCTGTGGCTCCATCCACACAGGTTCCCTTATGTTTAGTATGCATCTGTCACTGTTCTATTAGATTGCCTTAGCTTGTCCTCACAGATTGCCTTAGCTTGTCCTCATGCAAGCATCCAAACCTAAGGAAGGAGAAACTTAAGTGACTTGGTGAACTTAGTGAAGTGACCAGATATGGGAAGGCTAAAACCCAGAGGAAATAAAATGGAAAACTTGAAGGTGACAAATTAAAGTGGAAAATAGATTAATTTTTTTAATCTTTATTGTCCTGAGAAACAAATCTGTAAATTCACTAATTTTATTTTAGAGAAAATCTCTAGATTCCTGGAAATTCATTATACTCTTAGATCAGATATAATACTGATTTCTGGGTATACATTAATAAACTTTTTTAGAACAAGTTCCATTTCATTTTTTTTCTTCCCTTCTTTCACAGGTGTTGCTCCATTTCTAATTGATCTTTGTTTCTTCATAATGGAATGTTGTGCCAGGTACTGTTGAAGGTACTAGCTGATCACCAGACCCATTTACTCTTCTGAGTATAGAATTGTGTTGTCCAGCCTTCTTTGAAGTTAGGTGTAGCCATGCAGCCTTAACCCATTGTTAAAAAAACAAGAAGAAACCCCCACAAGCAATCTTTCATGCTTTTCCCTTCTTTTTTTTTTTTTTTTTTTTGGGTTGTTGTTGTTTGTTTTTTGAGAGAGATGGCAACTTACTATTGTTGAACTTCTGGCCTCAAGCAGTCCTCCTGCCTCAGCCTCCCAAAGTGCTGAGATTACAGGCATAAGCCACCATGCCCAGCCTCTCTTTTTACTCCTATGGCCGCATGCTGAAGATGGCAGAACCACTAGTTAGGAGTCTTCGTTCCTGAATTGGAACTCTTGGAGAAGAACCATCTACCCCATTAGGAAAACCTATTTTGGACTTTACATGAATGAAGCAGACTCTTCAGTTATGTTTAGCAGTCAGCTTTATCCTTGGGATTCATCGATGAACAAGACAAGCTGGCACCTGTAGTCCAGCACTTTGGGAGGCCAAGGCAGGAAAATGGCTTGAGGCCAGGAGTTCCAGATAAAACTGGGCAACATAGCAAGACCCTGTCTCTATAAAAAATAAAGAAAAATTAGCCAGGCACAGTGGCATGCACGTGTAGCTGCAGCTACTCAGGAGACTGAGGTGGGAGAATCACTTGAATTCAGGAGTTCGAGGCTGCAGTGAGCTACGATATGATAGTGCCATGGCATTCATAATCATCTTGTCTGCTTGCTTTGCTTGCTGATTGGTTGCATGTTTCTCTATCATCTGTTATATTGCTGGCATAGAGAAGGCCTTTGCCGGCAATATAATAGATAATATAGAGAACACTTATATACTGCACACTTATAGAAACTTGGATAAATGAAAGGCACCAGGCTAAGTCAAGCACGATACCTGCCCTTTTGGACCTTACAGTATAGAGTAGGAAAAAGATATTAAGTCAGTAGCGAATATACAATTACAAATCTGTTAAGTATGATTAAAGAATAGAGTGCTGTGAGGGAATCTGCTTCGGATTGCAGATTCAGGAATGGCTTCCCTGAAGAAGTGGCATTTAAATTGAAACCTGAAGGAAGAATAGACATTAGCCAGACTAAGTCATGAGTAACTTTCCAGGCAAAGTCTTTTGGGGTAGGAGGAAACTTGGCAAGTTTCAGGAAACAAAACAAGGCAATGTGGCCAAAAGTTAGGATCAAGGGGAATGGTGCCAGTCAGGATGAAGAGGGAGCTAGGAACAAGATCATTCAGAATCTTGCGGGCCATGTTACGGGGTTGCAATTTCATCCTAACAGCAACAGAAATGCATGGAAAGGTTTTAAAAGTGGGGGATGAAGTAATCAAATTGGTGATTTAAAAATAATCCCTCTGTTACGTGGAGAATGGATTGCAGGGAGACAAGTAAGAATGTGGCAAAACATTAAGGAATTGATTACAATGACCAATGCCTTGGTTGGGTCCAGGGTCACCAAGCAAGGTTGTTGAGATCATTCCCTGCACAACGGGGCAAGTGGGGCTGAAATGCATCCCCACTATCTGCCCAAAAGAAGAGGCTCCGGGCCGGGTGTGGTGGCTCATGCCTGTAATCCCAGCACTTGGGAGGCTAAGGTGGGCGGATCACGAGGTCAAGAGATCGAGAATTCTGTTAGTTTTCAAAACATTCCATAATCTGACTCCTGATGTTGGTAGAGGAGGAAAAAGCATTATTTTCCCTCTACCCATGTTAAGTTAGTTCAAGTTAGTTAAGTTACTTCATGCAGATTAGATGGACAAAAGACAAATTAATAAAAGCAAGCATTTATTAACCTCTTTGTGGCACAGTGATGAGTAACTCAAAAGGGTGGTGGTTAGAACTTGTTCTTACATAGCAGCTTAACAAAATAACAATACATTTTTAGAAAAATTCTATAAAGGAAAGGACTTTGAGCTTCTAGCATAGCAAATTTGGGAAGGTGACTATATGAGAGAACTAGCGGAATATGAAAGCTAGGTAATAAACTTCGTTATGTATTATTGATTCCTAAGGGTCCAGAGTTGTCTCCAATGATTAACTTCTGTCCTTCCTGGGAAAGGGGTGGGGGGGTGGGAGGGACAAAGGGGAGACACCTTTACAAAGCCAGGGTTACAATTTGGCAAGCCTAGCTCCAGAGCCCATACTCTAAATAACTAAATTACACCACCTTTGTAACAGTTTAGTTTGTCTATAAAAGACAAACGTCCCAGCCCCTCTGCCTCAGATATATGCTTGTGGGCACTCATGTTCCAGCACATTTGCTTTTCCAAACCACCCTCTGCCTTTTATCCCTGTGCAACGTTACTCACATAAACACCAAGTTCATTCACACCTGTGTGCCTTTTTGTTCATCTTTCAGCTATCCAGAGTGCTCACTGCAACCTTTCTTTTATTTGTTGTCCCCAAAGGCTTCCCAACCTTCAAAGTCTCTTTGAAATTCCATCCTCTCCTAAAAGTTCTTTCTTCTACCTGCAGTAACACTATTCTCTCCCTTCTATGTCTTACAGCATTGCCTACCTCACACTTTATGCCTGACTGTCCCCAGTAGTGTTTAATTCTCTAAGTTTTTGAAGACTAGGCATACATGAAAAGATAAGGCAGCCAACTTAGCAAAAGATGAGAAACATTGATTAAACAGAATCAGTTTTGCTGAGACCACAATAACGTCATGACTAATAGAAGAAAGGCCATCTCCAAAGTAAATTGTCTGCTTTCTTGCTTTTCATGTAAGCTAATTTGATATTCCACTTGCACCAGTCTGCTTGTTTTTACCTCATTTATTAAGACAATAAATGGATATAGTGTATCTTTAGCCAGGCATAGTGTTGCATGCCTGCAATCCCAGCACTTTGGGAGGCTGAGGCGGGTGGATCACCTGAGTTCAGGAGTTTCAGACCAGCCTGGCCAACATGATGAAACCCTGTCTCTACTGGAAAAAAAAAAAAAAAAAATTAGCAGGGCATGCTGACATATGCCTGTAATCCCAGCCACGTGGGAGGCTGAGGCAGGAGAATTGCTTGAACCCGGGAGGCAAAGGTTGCAGTGAGGCGAAATTGCGCCACTGCACTCCAGCTTGGGCGACAAGAGCGAAACTCAGTATCAAAAAAAGAAAAGAATATAGTGTATCTTAAAAATTGGGCGATTCTACTTGCTGTCCTGCAGGAAAGGTATGAAGACATTGGACAGGGCAGATAGAGGGAGAGCATGGTGCATTAAAAAATTATATTTGGAAAGAAAAGCAAGCACATTTTCATTTAATAAGAGACTATAAGGTGGTATTTGATAAAGAGAACATTCCAAAAAGTCAGGATGTAGTTGCAAAAAAAAAAAAAAATTATAAATCTCAAGCCATATGGTTTTCTGTGAATTTAAAACCAATGCTAATCTTTTACAGAATAATAAAATTGAAAATATAAACTCTTAAATTTTCTTAGAATGTTTGGTTTCACAATTCTCTAGCATATGAAAGGTACTTACTTTCAATCTATAGCACTATACTGCTTTTCTCTACATGGTTGTAATTTTTCCTGAAAAGTCACACTAATGATAGCTACTACTTACTAGGTATTTACTTTGTATGAAGCTCTTGACAAGCATTAAGTCACTTAATCCTTACACAACTCAGTGATATAGATATTATTTCTTTTTTATAGATGAGAAGGAAAAAAAGTTCAACAAGTTAATTGCCCAAGATTACAGTGTGGCAGAACCAAATATAAATCTAAGTTTGCCATTTGCCAAAATCCATGGATGCTCTTAACCATTGTTCCATCCTATTACTTTCTTAGTCACATATTTGTAAAGATCCGTTTGAGATGACTTTTCACCAGTATTGTGCCGTAATTGTTTTAAGGTAGGACATATTATCTCTTTCTTTTAAAACTACCCTCAACAGCTAGTACATTGAAATGAATTTTAAGTGTTAAAATAAATGGACATTAAACTTTCTCATGATGTTTGGTTTTTCAAAAAATGTTTAATGGGAATTTTTTATTAAAAGCCTGCCTTTTAAAGAAATTGAATTTCTAGTTTAGTTTAAAACTTGAAAAAAGAAATTTCCAGCCCCAACGATTTCATTGCTTAATTCTAGCAAACATTTAGAGAAGAAACAACACCAACACCATCCTTTCAGAGAAAAGAGGAGAGAACACTTTTCAGCTTATTGTATGAGACCTGAAAAACAGTACAGGACTCCAGATTCATATCCTTCCTGAACATAGATGCAAAGGTCCTCAGAAAAATATTAGTGAATCAAAATCCGCAAAATGTAAAAAGAATAATACACCACAAGTAATAGGAGGTTCATGCTGGGAATACTGGCTGGGTCACTATTAGAAAAGCCGATAAAGTAATTAACTACACTAGCAGACTAAAAGAAAAACTACCTGATGGTGTCATTTGATGCAAAATAAGCATTTGATAAAATTCAGCATCCATTTATGCTGAAAAGTCAGCAAACATCCTCAACCTGATAAAGAACACCTTCCAGAAGACCAACTACAGCCAACATTATACTTAATGGCAAAATCTTGAATGCTGTGAATGGAAAGAAGGAAAGGATGTTTACTCTCAAGACTCCTATTCAACATCATACGGGAAGTCCTAACCAGTATAATCAGGCAAGGAAAAGAAAAGGCACACAGGCTGGAATAGAAGAAACAAACTGTCCTTATTCAGTCAGCATAATTGTATATGTAGGAACCTGTTAAAAAAACCTCCTAGAACTTATAATTGAGTTTAACAACTTCACAGGATACAAAGTGAGTGCATGAAAATGAATTCTGTTTTTATATACTGTCATACACAACTGGAAGCTAAAATTTTAAAAATTATATTTACAATAGAGCCAAAAAATGAAATATGTGGTTATAAATCTAATAAAATATATATACAATCCATATGCCAAAAACAAAATGCTACCTAGTGTTCGATAACAGGATGACTATAGTCTAATAATTCCATTGCGAATTTAAAAATACCAAAGTATAATTGGATTGTCTGTAACACAAAAGATAAATGCTTGAGGGAATGGATACCCTATTTTACATGATGTGATTATCATGCATTGCATCCCTGTATCAAAACATCTCATGAATCACCTAAATATATAAACCTACAATGTATCCACAAAAAATAATTATTTTCAAAATATGTTGATGAAGGCAATAAAAGAAGGCGTAAGTAAACAGGGAGATGTATGTTCATGGATTGGAAGATGTCAGTTGGTCTGTAGGTTTAGCACAATTCCAACTATGTGATTATATACAAGCTGATTCTAAAATGTGTATGGAAAGGCAGTGTAACTAGAAAAGTCATACAATTTTTAAAAAGAATAAAATTGGAGGAATGACAATACCCAATGTTGAGACAACATAAAGTTACCATCAGACATTAGAGTATTGGCTGGGGGATAGACACATTGATCACAGAATAGGAAGTTCAGATACAGATCCACAGGAATATAGCCAGTTGTGGCCAGTTGTGGCCAGGTGTGGTGTCTCATGCTGGTAATCCCAGCACTTTGGGAATCCGAGGTGGGCGAATCCTTTGATCCCAGGAGTTGGAGACCAGGCTGGGCAACGTGGCAAAAACCCCTCTCTGTAAAAAATACAAAAAAAATTAGCCAGGCACTGTGGTGAGTACCTGTAGTCCAGCTACTGGAGAGGCTGAGGTGAGAGGATCACCTGAGCCCAGGAAGACAGGGCTGCAGTGAGCCATGATTGTGCCACTGCACTCCTGCCTGGGTGACAGGAGTGAGACCGTGTCTCAAAAATTTTTTTTTTTTTTTTACATTCAGTTGGTCAGTTGATTTTTTCTTTTTCTTTTTCTTTTTTTTTTTTTAGCCCAGTCATTCTCATACTATAAAAAGTCAGTTGACTTTTGACAAAGGAACACAGGAGAAAATCTTTGAGCTGGTGTTAGGCAAAAAGTTTTTGGGCATAACATCAAAGCATGATCTAAAAAAGAAAAAAATTGATACACTGGACTTTACAAAATGTAAAACTTTTGCTCTGTAAAATGTTAAGACCAAAAAAAGACAAGCAATAAAATGGGAGAAAATTTTGAAAATCATGTATTTGAAAAATGGCTTGTATTTAGAATACATATTTTTTTTAATTCTCAAAAATCGACAATAAAAATATCAAGCAACCCAATTTAAAGATTGGTAGAATACTTGGACACTTCAGTAAAGGGAATGTACAATGGTAAACAAGAATAAGAAAAGATGTCCAACATCATTACCTATTAAGGAAATGCAAAAGAAAAAAACCACAATGAAATACTACTATACACCTATTAAAATGGCTGAAATTTAAAAATGCTGATAATATCAAGTGCCAGAGGGGATGCAGATCAATCTGAATTCTCATACATTGCTGGCAGAAATGCAGAATGGTACAAGTTGGGAAAACAATTTTGGTAGTTGCTTATAAAGTTAACGTTTAACCTGTGACCCAGCATTCCTACCACTAGATAATTACCCTAGGGAAATTATGTTCACACAAAAACGTGTACATATATGTGTAACTCTATTCATACTCATTAAAAACTGTAAACAACTCAAATTTTGTCATTCTTTGGGTAAATGGATAAACACTGGTATATCTATACAATGTTCTAGTACTGAGCAATATAAAAGAACAAATTATTGATACATGCAACAACTTGGATGAATCTCAAAAGCATTTTGCTGAGTGAAACGATAATTCCAAAGATTTTATATTGTATTATTCGTTTATATGACATTCTTCAAAAGGCTAAACTATAGAGATGAAAACATCAGTAGTTGTCACCTATCATGTGTGGAGGTAGGAGGTGTCTATAAAGAGATGTAATATAATTTAGGGGGGTGGAGGTGATGAGCATATTGTCTGTGCTTATTGTGATGGTGTATACATCTATACATACATGTGTGCAAATTCATAGACATGTTCACAAAAATACATCAGTTTTACTCTATAATAATATATTTTTAAACTTTACTTTCAATACCACTAAATATCATTTTTATTTCTATGAGACTACAAAATCAGAACCCACTGAATATAAGGCAGAGAGAGATGATTAATTCTAGAGGTTTTTATTTTATAAGTGAAAAGAAACACAGGTTTACTACGTCAAGCAGTAGAAAAATGCAAGCAATATTGAGGGGACGAGGGTCTGGTTAGTGAAGAGGCTAAATTATCCAGCTAGGACATGCACTGAATTTTCTGGATAATTACACACAATTCCATTCACCTATAAGCAAGTAAGGCTCTTGGAGCACATAAATGATTCCACTGCAATAAGTTACATTTTTTGGAACTCTTGACATATACATTCAAAGCTCATTTTGGTGATTTTATCAGTTTCAACCTAACAAGTTTCTGAAAATTCCTAATGTACCATTGATAATAACCCCAATGTAATCCCTTATATACTGAAATAGTCAATCTTGTTTTCTTTTAAAAATATCACCGCTGATGGGGAGCTAAGTCTTAAGTTTTTGAAATATTTAAGAAAATATTAAATTCATTGTAAGAATAATAATTTAGCTTGTGTATAAGTTTCTCCTGTGGTTGGACAACTGGATTATAATTTGTTTTTAGAGTTGTCAATTGCAATTATATTTAGAACTATATTTTGAGACTAGTAAAATAAATTATGATACATCCATCAAATGAAATATTATGTAGCTATAATAAAGAATGAAGATGCTTTTAATGTACTGGTATGGAATGATCTCTAATAATATATTAAGTGTATAAAGCAAACTTGAGAATAGTAGGCATAACATGTTATTTATGCAAAAAGGGGGAAATTTATCCTTATACATACACACACATATATATACATGTGTGTTTATTTGTAAAATTTAGACTTATCGGCCGAGTGTGGTGGCTCATGCCTGTAATCCAAGCACTTTGGGAGGTTGA